GCAGCAGCAACGACATCATCATCAGCTGCAGCACCAGCATCAGCATCATCATCATCGTCATCAGCATCATCAGCATCAGCATCATCATCATCTTCATCATCATCATCATCATCAGTCTAAGCATCAACATCATCATCACCAGCTTCATCATCGTCACCATCATCAACGACATCATCATCATCATCATCAGAAGCAGCAGCAGCATCGTCATCATCAGCATGGTCAGCACCATGAGCATCATCATCATCATCCTCATCAGCATCCGCATCATCATCATCATCAACAACCTCAACATCAATATTACTATTAGCATCACCGTCATCAACTGAGCAGCAGCAGCAGCCTGATCAGTATCATCTTTATGGTCCATCATAATCATCATCAGCATCAGTACCATCATCATGTTCATCATTAGCATCATCGTCGTCATCAACATCATCGACATCAGCAACAGCAGCAGCGTCATCATCATCATCATCATCATCAGCATCATCATCACCATCACCATCACCATCAGCATCACCATCAGCATGATCAGCAGCATCAGCATCAGCATCAGCATCAGAATCAGCATCAGCATCAGTATCATCATGTTGCTCATCCAATTCCTCTTCCTCCTGTGCCTGGTCGTCCTCATTCTCCTCCTCCTCCGTCTGCTCATCCTCCTGCTCCTCCTTATCCTTCACCTCCTCCTGTCCCCCTCCTCCTCGTCATCCTCATCGTGCTCCTCATCCTCCTCGTCGTAATCACCATCACAACAATCATCAGCATCAGCATCAGCATCAGCATCAGCATCAGCATCAGCATCATCATCATCATCATCATCATCATCATCATCATCATCAGTATCAGCATCATCATCGGCAGCAGCATCATCATCAGCAGCAGCATCATCATCACATCATCAGCTTCAGCATCATTCAGCAGCATCATCATCGGAAGCATCATCATCAGCAGCATCAGCATCAGCATCATCAGAATCGTCATCATCATCAGCATCATCATCAGAACTCGTCATCATCACCAGCATCGCCATCATCGCCATCATCAGCATCAGCATCATCAGCCGCATCATCAGCAGCATCATCATAAACGCCGTCATCAGCATCAGCATGAGCATCAGCATCAGCACCAGCATCATCATTATAATCAGCATCATGATCAGCAAAATGTGCATCATCATCGGCAGCATCGGTATCACCATGATCAGCACCATCAGCATCAGCCCCATCCTCGATTACATTAATCTTTCTCTCCTCCTCCTCTTCCGCTTCATCATCATCATCATCATCATCATCATCATCATCAGCATCATCATCATCATCATCACCATGATCATCATCATCAGCATCATCATTGTCAGCATCATCACCACCACCATCATCATCATCATCATCATCATTATCATCAGCATCATCATCATCAGCAGCATCAGCAGCATCATCATCATCATCATCATGATCATCATCATCACCATCCTCAGCAGCAGCATCATCATCACCATCATCAGCAACAGCATCAGCATCAGCATTAGCATCATCATCGTCAGCATTGTCATCATCAGCATCATCAACATCATCAGTATCATCATCATCATTAACAGCAACATCAGCATCGGCATCAACAACATCAGCACCACCATCACCATCATCACCAGCATCATCATCATCAGTATCAGCGTCAGCATCAGCATCGTCATCATCAGCAGCAGCAGCATGATCTTCATCAGGATCATCATCCTAACCATCACCACCACCGCAATCATCATCATCAGCATTATCAGCATCATCATTATCAGCATCATCATCATCATCATCATCATCAGCTTCAGCTTCATCATCAGCGTCATCAGCAGCATCATCACCACCACCATCATCATAATCAGCATCATCAGCATCTTCATCTTCATCTTCATCTTCATCAGGGTCATCATCATCACCGTCATCGGCACCGTCATCAGCATCATCACCATCATCAACAGATTCACAAATCAGCAGCATTATCAGCACCATCATCAGCAGCATCATCATCAGCATCATCAGCATCAGCATCATCATCATCATCGTCATCATCGTCATCATCATTTTAATCATCATCATCATCACCATCACCATCACCATCATCATCATCATCATCATCATCATCATCATCATCAGTATTATTTTCCTCCTTCTAGATTTCTCCTCCCCCTCCTCCTCCTCTTTCTCCTCCCCCTCCCCCTCCCTCTCCCCCTCCCCAACCTCCCCAGCCTCCTCCTCCTCCTCCTCCTCAACCTCCTCCTCCTCCTACTCCTCCTCCTCCACCTGCTCCTCCTGTTCCAATCCCACTTCCAGTTCCTCCTCGTCCTCCTCCTCCTCCTCCTCCTCCTCCTCCTTCTAGCCGCTTCGGCTGGAGGTGGTTGCACCCCAGCATCGGCGCGCGCGATTCGAAGCGGCGCCAGCGCGTCGGGGGCGACGGCGGAGGCGGCATGAAGCTCCTGCAACCCCAGCAGTTGGCGTCCACGAGCTCGAACACGCTCTTGGTGGACCTAGACTTGGAGGTCCAGAGTGCAAGCCCCCCTTCAGGTACCCT